CCGAACGGTTCGGTGACTACACAAAATAGTTTCTTAGACGAATTATTACACTCGAAACTTCTCACATAATAAATTAATATTTAATATGTAAACTTATTTATACATAATGACCTTTAGATTGCAATTACTTTTTTTAATCAATTACCCCAAAGATTCAAACATGCTAGAATTTATATTAAGGTTGGTTTCATCTGTACCTAACCCATTAATTCATGCAATGGATGAGATTAGCTAGACTCCTACTCTTCTTTTTCTTCTTTTTTTTCTTCTCTTCAGAAAGATCTTTTAAAAGGTTCTTTATAATTTTTCACTATTTTGAGTATTTTAACTAACATTAAAGCTAAAAATTATTAAAATATTTTGGTTTGATATTTGCTAATTTAGAATATATTTGAGATTATTACAGCATTTTATAAAATTGATTAAAAATTTATTGTGGGAAAATAACTTAACTATTATAATTACATATGAAAATTTTAAAAATTTATGAAAAAATAGTATGAAAAGAGTATCAAATAAAATTATGATTATTATCTAAAAAATAAAAATCTGAAAAAATTGGAAAACTGCCTTAAATAAACATAACTTAATAAAAAAATTCAAAAGTTAACATTAAAATTTTAAATATGGTTGTGAAATTTATGCTTTCACATTAATTTACAAAATAAACCTTTGATTTCACCAAAGGAAAATTTTCAAAAGCATTAAATGTTATCTCATTCTTCAAAGCTTTCTTTATGATATTTTTTGACCTTTTTTTGAGGGATGGCTCATGGCTATGCTTACTTTTTATGCAAACTTTCGGCCTCCATACCTTGTGGTGGGGTGCATTTTGCAATTATTAAAAAATAACAGAAAAAAGAGAGATATGAAGGGCATTTGTGAAAAGGTGAGATCATTTGGATTTAATTGATGCATGGGCTTAGCATTAATTAAGTTTATTTTAATTTTTTTGTCCGAGATGAGGAAAGGGTCCTTTTCATTCTTCGTTATTAAGCATCGTACTTTGGCTTTCTTTCTCCAAATTTGCTCAATTTTCTGGAGAAAGTAAACCTCCTACTTTTCTCATGATCCAATGTTGATTAGATTCCGTGGAGCCGTAAATTATGAGAAATCATGTTTTCACATGATTAATTAAGGCAGTTTTGTGAGAGTAATGCAGACACGGTTAATGAAATTTACACATTTATGTGATTCATTTTGATCTGTTGGTTGAGAGCTTTAGCTATTAATCAAGAGGTTTTGGGTTCGAATCTTATGATATAAGATGTGTGTGTAAGTTTATCTTAATTGACTTAAAATTACTTAATAGTAGATTTATTCTAATAGAGCAGGTGCAGCCAAGTTATGTTAACTCGCAAGCTGGCTCTAGCTGGAATAGTTAATGAGCTAATGAGTCAAGCTTATCGAGTTTCAAGCTCGAGCTAGAGCTCGAACAGAATTACAATCTCGTTGGATTATTGAGCTCGAGTTTGATCCTCAGAACATATGGCTCGATTACTATTCTAGCGGCTCAAGTGCGGAATCGGAACTGCGGAAGCAAAGTCCCGAGGTGGGCTCATATGCGGAAGGCGGGCTTGGATGCAGAAGGGGGCTCGGACGCAGAAGGCAGAAGAGGAAATCTACATCATGAGGGTAGGCTCGGACGCTAGAGGCGGAATTGAGGAAGGCGGGGGCGGCTGAGGATGCGAAATCAGAGTTCGAACCGTGGAATCAAACTGCTTGTCAAGCTCGTTTTCAGTAGCATGAGTCGAGCTCTACCTTGCCTTTTGAGCTTGACTCAAGCTCGATCTCAGAATTGGCTTGCAAGTTGCGCTCAAGTTAGGCTTGACTCGAGCTTAGTTGCACCCCTAGTGCTACATAACTTATTTCTAAAATAATTAAGGGAGGTAGCTCATCTTGTTCTATTGGTTGGAAGCTTTAGCTACCAACAAAAAGGTCTTGTATTCGAGTCTTACATATGTGATTTATGTGTGAACTTGCTTTAATTGTCTAAATGTCCCAAAAATAAAAATTAAGGAGTACTTAAAAAAAGTCTAAAATTCATGAAGATATTTATAAGTTCATAACTTAAAATAAAAGTTTAAAGAGAAAAAAAAAAGACTCTATAATTATCAGAGGTTAAATGATGATGGTTTTTATAAGTCCACGATTAAAAAAAAAAAAAGATGGAGATGCCCCCAAGTGAACTAGTTGAATGATGGGACTTATAGTTCTAATTAATATAGTTAATAAGTATTATCCAAGCTGGGTATTCTTATAACATTGAGGGCACTTGATTTCTCCTAGATCTAATACAATTATAATTGTTATACGACTAAATAATTTTATAGGGTACAAGCGTACAGAATTTGAAGTCCAAGTTTTATGACATATAGAGAAAAATGTAACTAAGGCTTCATTTAGGATGATTTTCTTTCCGCTTCTTAAAGCAGCTTTTTAATACAAAAAATTTAATTTTTGTACTAAAAAACTAGTTTAAGAAGCAGTGAGAAAGCCTTCCCAAAAGAAACTAAGCTATTCAAGAGTTTTCAAATCTATATAGTATAGGTATGAATGTAATAAAGGCATGGAGCATAATGCTTTGAAGATTAAGAAACACCTAGTAAGTCGAGGTTTACAACTTTGACAAGCAAAATTGGATGAGTGTTTAACTTGTAACTCTAGAAATGAACTTCCCATAAGGGGAGTATGACAATCTAGTCATAAAGATAATATTGCCCAACATATTTAGTAAGAGTCATAATGCAAATAATGATTATTTTTTGTGATGTTATTTGGCTATAATTGACTTTTAAAAATCTGCAAGGTAGAACTTAGATAAGATCAGGTTTGTGCTATTGTGTCAAAAGGAGAGCTAAAATTGGTAACCTAGGGAAAGAAAGTGGTCATGGAAGGTTTTAAAATACACATTGAGTTATTTTATTATAATCTCAACTCAAAGAATCACCAAATCCTCTTTGTCAAATATGTGGTCAACATAAAGTCAACTTTGATAAAATGTTAATCAACCCAGGGACGCCATATATCGCTGAAATATAAGATACATATTGAGTTATTTCTCCTAAAATACTTCATGGTCTTGGCTCCCTCTTTGGCTGAACTCTTAAAATGGATAATGCTACCTCCTCTGGATCTCGTCCATCAGTATTAGATGTATCAAAACGTTATCCTGATAATGTGTGGGTTGGCCCCAAAAATTTAGTTACATTCAAGCTGTGGTTATGGAGGACTTTCCTTCTTATTGTGTTCACTGTAAATCATTGGGCCATTGTCAAACTGAATGTTATATTTTACATCCACATCTTATTCTTACTCCTACTGTGAAACCTCTTTCAAATATTGGAGGTGGTAACCCCACTAGTGGTTTGGAAGAAAGTATGCTTGGTACTTGTTGTGATTTAGTTAAGCAAAAAATATTGTGGAGGTTAGTAATGTTGAAAATGAGCTGTTATCTCATCCTTTGAATGTTGGTGACATCAAGTCCCCATTTGAGCCTGTTGTCTTAGCTCCTATGGTGCCTGTGGAAGTTGTTTATGCTCCTGTTTTTGAGAATTTTGGTGATCCTGTTGTTAATATCTCTAATAATCTATATGTTATCCATGTTGTGTTTGTGGCTAGTATCAATAGAGAGGCTTGTGAGGTCGTCCCACATGTTGTTGGTGAGATGATTTTGGCAAATTCTATGCTTGGTTTGTCTCATGACAAATTGGATGCGAGGAACAAGAATTTGTGTGAAAGTACCAAATGGCTTTAAATGTTTCTACTAGTGGATTGATTGTGGCTTCTTCTAATGCTTTTAGCTCTCCTATTACCCCTTTAGTCTTGTATAGGAAGGAGCCTCCCACTGATGTGGGAGTTTCTATGGCTAACATGAATGTGTGTGCCAGAACTGTGTATGAATCTAGTAAGGTGGTGGATGATCTCAACTTAGATGTTTGTGCCAATGACAAGTTGAATGAGTCATCTACTTAACTTGTTTCTTTGTTGGCTTCATTAGGGCTAGCCTCATCTCATATCATTAATGGTTCGAAGGGAATGTGTCTTATATTGATGTTTCCATTTCAGTGATGTTTAATGCGAATTTCAGAGCTCAATTGGTTTTGTCATTCAAAAACTCTAGTATGTCTCAAATAGATTGGGGGGGGGGGTGTGTAGCCAAAGGTGTAGAAGTTCATAAAAAAAGTAGCTCTTTTTGTTCTCTTGGTTGTCGTGCATCTCGTTTATATGATTTTTGTGGTGCTATGGACACTGATGAGGCTGCTTTTTGTTCGCTACCTAATTGGCCTATGTTTGCTAGCAACCTTGGTGGTTTTGCTCTTCTACTTTGCAGTTTACTTTTTTGGATTGTGGGTTGTATCTTGTCTTTTGTATTGTTATCCTCTGTTTGGTTTATGGGTTGCTGCCTCCAATGGATGGTCAGTGCTTTTCTTCTAGGTGGTTGCAGGAAGCTCTGAGTCCGCCTATCTTCTGCGCCTTCTTCATTGATTTTTCATTTTTGGTGTTTACTGATCTGTAACTGATGATATTAGTTTTGTATTATTGTTTTGTCAGCTTTTGAGTCCTTACTGTATTATCCTTTTATGGAATTAAACTTGAATATTTTGGAATAAAAAAAAGGGAGTTTGTAAGTAAGAGAACATGTTGGGTAGTTCTTCTAAACTCGAGCATATCTCCTATTCTCTTCTCTTAGTGAAATTATTATATGTGGATATGGACGTTGTTTGGAGACAAATCAGAACGAGTCATATCACTCATTTGTTATATACCACTATGTGCTGATTGATGTGACTCGTTATTATTCGACTCTAGATAATATGATATCGACACAAAATAATTCCTCATTCTTTTTTCTCCTTGAAGTCAACATAAATGAAATTAACTTTATGCGCTTCTACCTTTTCATCTATCCATGATATATCGCTAAAAAAAACCTCTATCTCCACCGCAGAAAATAAATGTTTCCCCAAAAGATGAATGCGCGGTGAGAAAAGTTGCGTCATTTCAGCCAGTTGACTATAAGAAGATGAGGATATGTGTCTCAAAAAAATTTGTAGAGGGGCCTTATTGAACTAAAAGTCTCCACATATTCTGAATTCTTCAATGCGAAGTACGAACGCTTCCTTCCATAGTATTCTACTCTCTGCTCTCTGCTTTCATTCCAAGCAGGGTGAGAGTGCTTTTTGCATGAAACAATTCGGTGGAACGCAACCATCACCGCCATCGCAATCTCTCTTTCTCTCTCTTCCTATCTCTCTCTAACCTGTAATCTTTCTCAGTCCTCTCCCGCGCTTTCTTCTCAATAGCGATTCATTAATCGCTTCGGTGCTCTCAGGTAATCCGATCTCTTCCTGCTTGTTATAAGTAATTCATGAAATTTGTAGCTCGAATTTGAAGTTTGAAGTACCTTTTGTAGAAGATTGGTCTTGTTCGAAATTAGTTTCTACGAATTGGCTACATGCACAGTTTGATTTTTGTTCTCCGGGGTTTCATGTTTCGATTGTTGTGAATCCGATTTTTAGATTCCCCAGTTTGGTGGGTTGTTTGCGGGATGAGTCTGAGGCCACTGTGTTTTACCGAGGTTTGTTTAGATTCGGAATCTGCTGTCCATCCTCGATTTCTTAGCTGTTAAGTATGCGTCATGGGGATAAGTGGGGCCTGGTTTGGTTGGTTTGAGCTATTTAGGCATTTGATTGTCTGGTTTGGTTTTGAATTTGGTGGCCAAATCAATTAATTTATATGGAATTTTCACTTAGCTCCTGCTTCTCCCAATGGGGTTTTGGCCTCTGGAGGGCTAACCAAAACTGGGTACTTTTGGTAGAATTGGTTTCTTGAGTCTCGGCCCATGTTCTTCTCCCTTTTGTCTGTATAGTTGAGTTAGAATTTTGAATATTATACAAATTATGTCGAGGAAGATCATTGTACTGTAGAAGCATTAATATATTTTTATTAAGTGTCAGAATTATTATATTTTTGTTCATAGTTTGTATAGCATGGTATTTTTTATCGGCATGCTGTTTACCACTCTGTAGAGGTGAGGTTTTTCCGTGTTTGTTGAGTTGATATTTTCAGTGTTTTTCTGATTAGTCTTAGAAAATCACTTAGTTATTACGCAAGTTATAGCCTATTTATTTGGTTGTTTCAATTCTTGCTGTTTCTTATATCAGAGCTACTTGATAGATTTCTATTCAGAAGCTGAGAAATTTGCTCAGTAAAATTTGATTCTGAGGCTGCCATTAGATTTAGAAGCCTTTTTTTTGTAACAGTCACTCCACTGATTCACATGCAGAGTACCGAAAATTAATTAAGAAGAGCTTTTTCATTGTCAAAACGGTACAGCAACTCAAAGAGGATCATAATCATTAGCTTATGCTAAATATTTTGATTTAATGGGATGAATACTCTTCCATCCACGCATGTTCACTGCAAAAGCAGAAGTTAACTCAAATGCTCGCAAGGTTTTTGTCCAACTTCAATTATTTTTATCTTTGTTCTAACCCTTTTTTTGGATATTCTTAGATTAATGATGTCATGTTGCCTTATTGATGCATATTTACTTTTGCTGCACTTCCATGAGTTATTAAACTCAAAATTTCACTACTTTACCTTCAATTGGTGCTACTCTTCTATATCTCTTCCATAATCATTTATCATTTTATTTTTCATAGTGTTGCCACACCTCTATCATAACATTCTTAATTTTTACAACGCAATCTTGTTATGACCTTTTTATTGTTTTTACACTTGCTTCCATACAACATAGCCAATCTCATTTCAGTTATATGAATTATATACCCAAGATGTCGTATCATATAATACTTCATAATATTTATCCAACTTAACTACTCAGATTAAGTTATGCTTTCATCTATATCCCAATCCTTTATACAATATATCCAAATATTTATCATGCTTATATATCATCTGATCTTCCAATTACTATGTTTGATGATTTACTAATTTACTAATTTCTAACAATTGTTTTTTTAATATTAATGTTATGCTTTTATCTTCTAAAAATTTCTCTATTGCTTTTTAACTTTTTGTTTATCTTCCAAGCTGTACCTATCCAAACTTTGTCATATACCAATAGAATCAATGCACCAAATTTTGAATATCTTTAGTAAGCATCTCAAATGCCAAAACAAAGAAAGATGTGTAAAAAATGTTGATCCCCTATGAAATGTTGTTTTCTGAAAAATGGTTTTGTCATTCCACAATTACATTTAATGCTACTCATTTCTTCTTTATAGATATCTTTAATAACTTCAAGATACTTTTAACATATCTTTTAGCTTTAATACTCGTTAAGTTAAATTTTCATGTTAATTTATCCCCTTCTGAGAACAGTATCGTATATAGTTTCTTCATTAATTTTTTTAGCATATGACCAAATTAATTTTGGATACCAACTTGTTTTAAAGTTTATTTCTATATATTACCACTATATTGAATAATTTTTTGTTCTAAAATATTGGTTCTAAAATGATTCTTCCCTATTCATTTGACATCCTATGATTTTTTTAAGATCTTAGAGAAAATGATTATTAATAAATAGTCCATTATAATAACCTCAATAATATTCCAAATTGCAGTCGAAATCTTACTTGATGAAACACATTACCTTCAAGCATCTTCTTTACTCCACTTTATAAACAATAAATTGTTTTGATATTGATTTTTTTTCATTTTGTTATTTTAAGTTTTTTTCCCGCTTAAGAAGCACCTATGACAATTTCTCAAAATTGCATTTATATATTTAGTTGATGTCATAAAACTGAATTATGTTCATATTCTCTTTATTTTTAGTACATCTAACTTGCTTTCAATGTCTACATCTTCCTAAAATTTTGGTTATTTTGTATCTCATTTTCTCTTTTGTTACCAACTTACCATGCAAATTATGAAGATGTAGCTTTGGCTTTGCTTATTACCCTCTTTACAACACTTCTAAGTTGTTCTAATAAGCATCTTATTTCTCAATAAAATTAATATTTATCATTCTTTTGGAGTGATTTTATTTGCATTAAATAACCACAATGCTTCCTTGTTCAAGTACAATATATATTCTCATAATCATTAGTCAGAGGATGTGTCTTCATGTGCAAGTTATGGTTGATTATAGTCGAACCAATTTCTTTGTGTACACTATTTAGTAAATTGATACATTCACTTGCACATCATTTACCGTCATTCACAAGCAAACTGTTGAATATATTCTAAGGGTTTCTTGTGGCCCACAGGTGGTTGTTGCTTGTCGTTTTGTGCATGCCGAGTGATATGGTAGCTTTCAATGTTCATAAAAAACTTTTTATCATTGGTTGCAAGCGAGTCTCTATATTCTTCCATGTTTTGGCTAATTTTTGCTTGCAAATAATTTATATTTAAAGATCTTTGCTTACCACGAGTTCCATATTTACTCATTTATATTAAATTATTCTTTGTTGCACACATTGTATTTTCATTTTAAGCATTAGGTCATGTTCCCTGTGGTCAAATTTGCAAGTTCAGTTCCCTATTGTCCATTCAAGTTCCCTGACATTCATTTAGGTTCAAATCAGGTCCCCTGTTGTTTTTATAACTTCAGATCCTCTATTTTCTCTCCTCGCATCTCTCCTGTTTAGGTAAAACTTTAGGGAGCTGGGTCTTCCCTATCACGCTACGAGAGCACGTAGGATAGGTGTCGCGTGACACCGTGGTTGTAGTCTTCAACCCTACCACACTACGAGAGTGCGTAAGAGTCTTCGAGGTACCTGTTTGAAATAAGGCGCAGTTTTTTTCCATGCTGGCATTGAGACATGCATGGGTACTTAAGATTGTCATCTTTACGCTACAAGAGCGTTTAAAAGGCCTACCAGCCTCACCGCAAGCGTCGGATCGGGTTCCCTTTTACCACGCCACGAGAGTGTTTAGGATGGTCCACTGATTTGCCGCGAGTGCCGAGAACGATATTTTAATTTTGAGGAGCATTATACCTTGATGAGTGACGGTGTCAACGGCGGTGCTGACGTCGACGACTGTGTTCGAGGGCACGGGGACAACTAACTCTCTCTTTTTTTATTCTCTCCTTTATCTTTTTTTGATTTTTTCTTCCTTTTTTTTATCATAATAATAACAATAATAATATTGTTGTTATTATTATTATTATTATTATTTATATAAATAATAATAATATTATTAATCATAGCATTAATAATGATTATGACAAAATTATTATTATTATTTAACCATAATTAGTAATATAAAATAGTAATAATATTAAAAAAATATATTATCACCTTTCACACATTGCATTTGCTGAGATGAGCTCGGGATTTAATATGGTCGGGTCGGATCGTATGCAGAGATCAAATCGGGCAGCAGATCAAGTCCCGGGTCTTGGAGTTTAGATGTTGGGTTAGATAAATTGAGGGATGTTTGGGTATAATAGGCAAGTGGGTTGGTTCAGTTGTGTAGAGTAGGTCGGCTAGGGAAGGTCGGGTAGATGAAGGAGAGGTAGATCGAATGCCGGAGTCTGGAGGCGTGAGGTTCGACGGCCTGTATGGAGGATGGAAGTCGGTTGATGGGGCTCAATCGTGGGTCTACGACGTCGATTGGCTTGCGGCATATTGAGGGGGGGCTTGGTGGGGGGTGGGGGGGGTCAGTTGAGGTGGATCAGAAGGCTTGTGGCAGGTGGTAGACAGATCCAAGGCTGGGCATAGGGTCTTCACGCGAGTAGGAGTCGAAGGAAGGGATATATGCCGGGTTCGATCAAGATTCGGCTGAGGTCTTTGGAGTCGAACGTGAGGTAGGGGCGCTCGGTTGGGAAAAGGTTTGGAACAGAGCTAGTTTGGAGCAGCTAGGGTCAGTTGTTGGCATCGGGTAAGGAAGAACAGGAAGAAGAAGAAGCGGAGGCTTCATTCCCTCTTCATTTTAACATCAAGATCGCGCACGCGGGAGACGGGACGGATGCGACAGTTTGATGCTACAGGTATTTGGCGGCTGAATACTTAGGATTTAAGGCAGATTGTGGCAGAGGTAATAATTTAAGCCTCTTTTTTTAAATATTATTATTTATTTTTTGAAATAGTGTGGAGGCCAACATCTAGTTACCACTGTTTATCCAGCATGCTCATTTGCATCAAGTTGTCTGCATCATCCAATTATTTTTCGCACTATCTATTATCATGATTCCCTCTCTATTATCATGATTCCCTCGCAGCGGTATTTTCTCTATGTGTGCATTTTTGGTCTACCCAACATATGTTTAAGTTTCTTATTTACTTTTTACTCCCTCCAATCCGTCTTTTCTCTACTCATCCTCAGTTGCAATCTTCAAGAAAGAGATGCTCTTTTGACATTTAAATCTCATCTCTTAATACGTCAAGACTTTCTTTCCTTTTCTTCATATTTCTTAACATGAAATTATAAAAAACATGCAACTTAAAGAAAAAAGAATGAATGAGAAATGAACAATTGTAGGATGATGACTTTTCACCTGGATTTTTCTGCTTAGCACAAATTGAAACATATACTATTTTTTAGTTCTTTTTTTTTTGTCTAAATGAATTTGTTACGCTTGTTATGCTTGGACCGGTCCCAGCTGGACCGGTCCGGTTCTACACCCGGCGGTCCAAAGCCGGGCGGAACCCAGTCGCAGAAACGATGGAAGAGAGAGCGGGCTAGGCGGGGTTAAAGAGTTTCGTTGGAGGGAATTTTTGAATGAGGAGAGTGTTTATGTAATTTGCATCTTTCCTTTTGCTTTAATTAGGGAGTTTATGAGAGAATTAGGGAGGTATCTTGAATTGAAATTTGATTTGAGATCTAGGATTTGTGTTCTTGGGCTCTTGGCTATGGCTAGAGATTTGGAGAGTTTTTCCTTCCTCTCGAATTGAAGGAAAATTGTATCTTGCTTGTTGTTTGCATCTATTAGTGGAATACAAGTGTTTGCAATTGTTTTCCTCCGTTTTCTCTCAGTTTTTCTTCAGTTTTCCGCTGTTTTTCACTGTTTTCCTGCTCCGGACAGCAGTTTGCTTGGAGAGTTGTTGCAAGAAGTGAATAGGAAATACTCGATTTCAAGTATTTCTTATCAAATTGGTATCAGAGCATCGATTTGGGGACTTTTGGCGGCTGAAATCAGATTTTTCAGTGAACTTTTGGGCTTACGGAAGTGATTTTTTGTGATCCGTTGGGAAGAATGATGGCCGGAAGAAGGTAGATGTGTTGGAAGGCGAAGTCGGTCAATTGAAAACCGATTTGGAGGCAAGATTTTTTTATTTTCAAAATCAAATCACCACCAACAATGAAAGGTTGGAGGGAAAGTTCACGGCAATGGAAGAAATGATGAAGAAATTACTTGAGATGAAGACTAATCCGACGACATCGGAAGCAAGAGGGACTACCGGAGACCATGGCGTAGGAGGGAATCCGAACCTGCTTAGGGGAGGAGAAATCCAGAAGTAGAGATCCTTGAGGGAGA